AAGTTATTTTTTTTTCTCTTTGATAATATTTTATCAATATAATAAACTATAGTTTCATACATAAAATTTGAGAAAGACAAAAAATCTGTATTGGTTTTGATTTAGTGATCATTCTGTTTGTCAAATGTATATCAATAATAATGTGATGATTATAAAACTATTAGATTTATTATTAATAACACTGGGTACTTTCTTTGACTATCACAATATTATCATTATCGACAATCGATTTTATCCAATCAGTATATAAACATTAATATCAATGTAAACACTAATTATAATTAGGTAAATCACATCGATAACCATACAATATGATACTTGTCCATATTCAACAATGTTTTCTAGTTAAAAAAATGCTTTTAGGGCTACTAGTATCTAAAATGATAGTAATTGATAATCGAATTAGAATAAATGAAATTTCTTGAATATATGAAGATCTAGTACATTATCTCTTCATTCTCATTTCATAGTGATGAAAAGTTGGAAACGAACATTCGTTATTATACTATAACATTTTGATTCAGTACTATCAATTGTTTCAAGTGTCAGTTGTCTTATGTGTATTGAATATATGAAATCTTTTCATGCTGTAATACCCTGACCGATTGTTAGTAATGTAGAAAGTAATATTGGATATCACCTTTTTTGCGATTTGATTACATCTGGTAAACAAATTTTGCTTGCAGTAATATCATGTATGGTAATAGACAATTCGTATTTGTCCAGTTTTACTCAATAATATATAGATACCAATAACTGCAGCATAAAGAAAAAATTGTTCTGACATACTCGTGAAAAACAACAAGCTGCTGTTAGAATGAAATATTTAGATAGCATTGTTGCACCATCAACAATATGTGAAATGATATCAACATTATTACGAGAACAATCATATGGATATGTTGCTTGACATTCAAAAAATTTTGCTTGTACTAAAAATGGACTAGAGCAATACGTAGAATAAAGAATGAAGAAATCAACATAAATCAGTCATGTTCATTCATTTGTTGAATATGAATACAATAAAGATATATTCTATTCGAATATAAGTATCTTATGATAAGCAATTTTTATCTATATAGTATCAGTATCGTTTTTTTGAGGTGTATTTTTTCCTTCTCGTCGAGTGTATTTGTGTCGAATTATCTTGTCCTAGAACGTTATTGTTGAATCAATAACTTCTATTCTGTATAAACATCTCATGCTCTTATAATGTTGTTCTGATCCATACGACAAGTACAATGTGTTCTAAAACTAACAACGAATAATTAGGAGAGATTTCACCCAAACACGAACCAGAACTGGACATTGTACCGAAGAAAATTTTTTGACTTAGGATTTAGTTATATTTTAAAAAAGGTCTCATAGAGATAGTAGCAAATTTGAAAATATGAGCTTGATCTGACAACCTCTTGCTAACTTATAAAGTACACTATGATAATACCCTTCAAAGAACGAGAAGAAAAATAGTAATTTTTAATACAGTACAAAATGACTATATTATTTCGAGCATTAACATAGCTATGACTTTCGTCAAAAGAAAGAGGACTTTTTTCTTCTCGCAGACTATGTGGCTCGACCCTCCACATACATTATTATGTGGCAAATTAGAGCTAGTAAAGTGTTGTTTAATGTAAAAATAAAGACTTCTTTTAAACTTTTGTTTAAAGTATTTTGACTCGTAAAATATACAGTTGGAGGTGCACCAAGCTCATTCAATTTTTTTGACTAAAAAGTACGATTATACACTTTTTGTGCTTATTCTAATTTATTTTCATTACTTTTTTTCAGGTCGATTATTTTTCATCCACAATTTAAGAAAATGACTGTGCGTGTAGGTATGGGTCTTTTCTTCGGTAATCTCCATGCTTACATCCTTTTCGTCAGCACTTTTTATTTTTCGTTGTCATCGAAATTTGTTCTTGTTTGTACTTATAATACGTCATGCAGCGCCCTGACGAGTGTTGTAATATCTTAATAAACAACATGAAACTCATCAGCGAAATAATTTAACATTTATAAAATTTTGATTTATATAAAGCGTATTAATTTAATATTTTATCATTTATTGAAATTCGACTTAGTCGATTGCTGAAAAGCAGGAGTTGAGCCTAAGATTTGTGAGTGATTATAAGATTCGCTCATGTGCTGATTTTCTTGATTTCTTGGTTAAAAACGAGAATGATGATTTAATAACATCCATGTTTCATAAATCTTCTGCTGAACTGTATATTGTATGGAATGTATTTGTATTGATATCTCATTGTTATTGATTCATTATCCACCGGATTTCATTCTATTAGTATCAAAAATTGCTTCATCAATCATCTAGACGTGAGAAAGAATTTCCAATAATGACAAAAGATAATCAAAAAGAAGGCCAATCATTCTGAAGCTACAACAATGGGATCGCGAAATCATATATTCCTGTTTTATATTTGAGAATGAATTCATACATCATCCGAAAACAGAATTGTTTCAATTATGAAAAAAATGGTATATTGATCCCGGTTCATTAGTAGTCGATGCCAAGGTGAAAAACTGTGCAAAATTAAATCGTATACAGGAGAGCTTATTGATTCACAAATAGTCAATAGTCATCAATGAAAAAATACAGTCTATGCATTTCTATCTTCGTGTTTACCTCTTGCTGATGAAATATGCTTTCCTCATCATGATTTTCGGGACTCTATTCATTAAGAAGACCTTCAACATCTTCAAATCTAACATTAATCCAAAAGATGAATCTACTTTAGTTCAATAGTTGACAAGGAATAAAACCAACACAAGTAATCATTTCCAATTAGTATGACAGTCGAGACGATATCTGCGCAAGCCTTTCCTGAAAACACCAATGCTGAACCAAACAAAGCCCGCTTCCCACCATCATAGCCTCATATTCAACTACAGAACGCATAATTGTCATTAGACATCTGATTCTAGGCAAAGACTGACATACAGAGCATATACAATTCCAAATTTATCTGATGATGAATGGATTGAGCTCTTTTCGAAACGATCGTCGTAAATAACTTGGAATTGTGTTTTTCAACTTAGCTGATGATTCTAGTTGCACAGGTGAAACATTAACATTGTAGCTGCTCCATTCACTCTCACTGCATCCTGATCGAGCTTATGAATATAGTAACCATCGTTATTAACGACTAACTCATTGTTGTTTTTTTCGACGATTTTTTTTTTATCATTGTATTGTTTGTTGATTAGAATAAGATAATGTATTTGATATTGAAGAAGCAAAACAACTATGCGGCTACTATTGGAAAAACCTCGATCATCATATGAAAGTTTTTTCCATCTTTGTTTGCTTGAACTATAATTATATTTTCGTTATTTTTCAATTCCTTTAATTCTTTTCTTTCTTTGATATTTAAATTATTCGTTTGAGGTTTTTTCCAGTGGTTGATAAACGTGATAGTCTCAGAGATGGCATTGTATTTAATGAATATTCCGCATTTATGATTATGTCAAATACATTCAGAAGCTTAGGTGTTAGTGAAAATTTCAATCCTTTTGACATCACTTATAGTTGTCCTTCTATTAATTCAATATTTCACTCGTTAATGACATATTGGCAAGTCGATTTTTGTTGTTATGGGTGATTTTCTTCCGATTGTGTTCTTTTTTTTATCTACGAACGTATTTAATTTGTTTTGATGTGTTTTTGTTTCAATTTTTCTTTTCTTGTTTTTATGATGTTTATTTATCCAGACAAAATCAGTTTCATGTTGTCTATATGCAAGGATTTCTTTCATGTATTCACTTAAAATCTTTTCTTGAGTTTTTATCTTAACCATTATGTATCATGTTTGTTTGAATCATCATTCAAATTTACTGTTGCCGATTTTTATCATAGTATTTTGGTATAATTTCTTTTAGTTTGATGCAATGGTATGTATTCTCTCTTCGTAGAAACCTTTCTATTCGTTACGGTTTTTTAGAAATGACTTATTGATTTAGTTATGAACAGTAAATGTTTATTTTTATTTTTCTACATTATTTTCTCGCATTCTTTTGCACATGACGTCTTAATATATGATAATAAGATAGAAGAGGAAGACAAATAATCCATCTTTTCCAACTTGTATTACCTTCTTGCCGTCCCACTATCATATGTTAGAATGTCATGTTCAAAAGAATCAGAGAAAATTAAAAACAAAAGAAACATGTACATTATAAATATGTTTGATGAAAACAACTTCGATTATCGATAAGTTACGAGATTTTTAATTCTTTATTTTTTGATTGAAGTTCAATTTGATCCATATTATTTTAATTTAATTTAATTAAATCATTTATTTTATTTTTATTCTATCGTTTTTACTGTCAATAATTATATCTAAGAAAATAAAAATTAATAAGGAAGAGAAAATAAACATTTACTTTTCATAAATAAATCACATATAATTGATATTTATCAAAGGTAAACAACTGATGGTGATGATGTACAAGTAGTATTCGTCTTGCTCACATGTTTTTTCATTACAGTAAGTGTTTCGTTATCGTAGACCGTGTTGATCTTAATTTTTTTCTTCGACTCACTTACATTTTCGTTTAATTATTCTACCATCCTACAATAATCAGCGCACGCTATTGGTAGGACCATTAGCTATGAATCTTCTCGCTTCATCGAAAAAAAAATCAAATAGTCGATCATTAATCCAAGGTTATATCGATAATGTACAGGTAAGCATGTGATGCTGATTGGCAGTTAATAGTCACAAAAATAACGTATTTTGGTTTCTGCACTATATAATAGCTAAATGAAAATGTAATTCAGTAGAAGAAAGAAAAAAAAACACTCTACAATAATAAAATATCAACCATTAAAAAAGAAACAGAGTTATAGTAAGACGAATACAGCTTATACATCATCGCTATCGATTGTTTACATTTGATAAATATATATATATATATCATATGTGAGTATAATATAAGCTTTACTTAAGAGCTAGAAATAGTTCGACTTTGTACTTAGAGCTATGGGCAATCGTGTTAATCGTCCAAGATTCATAGAATGGGATTTAGATCATCTGGAAAAAATCACAACTTTATCGAAACAACAATATTTAAACCTTTATGATCAATATCAGAACGATGAAGCATGGGGTGGTCAAAACATGGATGATAAATTATTTTTTCAAAAATATGATGAAATGCTACCAGGCGAGCAGACGAAAGCAGAAAGTGATCGAGCATTTCATACATTTGATTACAATAATTCAGGTAAGTTGTCATTTGAAGAATTTGTTGGTGTTGTTGTTGTATTAAATAATGGCTCAACAACATTCGATCGAATCAAATATTTGATCGATCAATACAATCCGACTAAAGGTGATAATCACATTAGAAAAGATTTTGGTAAACTGATATTTGAGCGTTTAAATAAATATTATGGTATTAATAATGTCGATCCAGCATCAGCATGGTCAGAATTAGTTGGAAGCAGTGAAGGAAATACCGATCAAGTTAGTTGTGGCAAGTTTTTCGCCTTTATTAATGGACATCCGGTTTATGGTACATATATTCAACAATAGAAAATAGACACATTACGCTAAGCATCAGTTCAGTTTTGAGTTAAACTAAATTGCAGTTGAAATAAAAAATAAAGAAATTTTTCTCTTAAATATCAAAGTAATCAAAGTGATAGATATTTAAACAATTTTTTGACTTTTTCAAATTCAGAATAACTAATTGAAAACAGATTAATCTATCTCTTGACGAAGAAGACAAGTTCAATATGTTAATCTTAATTCTTGCTTTTCAGCAATCGACTAAGTTCAAAATGAAATAACAATAGAATAATAGATATGTGTGCTCAGATGAAAATAATTAAAGAAATGTAATGTTTAATTCAATCATATGCTACATTTTATTTATTGAAATATTAAACACTCATGAGAGCTCTGCATTACATTTTCAAGTGATGAATAGCAAAAGCAATACATGTGACGGTTCAATGAATTTAAAATTGTAGGTACAAATGAGAATGGAGGACTCTTTGAATCTACCATATATTTGACGATAAAATTCCTGTTCCACTGAATTTCCACGTAACAACGAAATAATGCAAATTTCAAAATTTCGATTAAGAATGACCAATATATAGTACGAATAAATCGAAATGTTTTGAATATTCATTGGTGGTGGACGATTACAGACGAAGCAATATCAAATTTTAATCTTTATAAATGACAATAACCGAGATGAAGTCCAAATAAACCGATTTTTTAATTCAGAACAATATGGAGTCACATCGTAGATTGAAATTTACAATGATTGAAAGCATGCTTTTCGAAAGATACAATTTTCACAAATATAACATCTTTAACGAATTGTAGACTTAAAACAATGATGTGAATAATGAATATATAATAGATGCATAAATTATCAATTGAATACGGCCAAGTAAAAATATTGTTCACAACTCACATAATTTAATTAAATTCGAAATAATAGCCTAGTCAGTTTACTGAATTCAAGAGTCCTTAACTCGTGGCTATACACCAAGATAATCATAGAATATATGTATTAATAATAATTGACTGACTTATACATAACAGTTTATAACCTAACTCAAATAGAAAGCCAATATGTGGTACCAAATAATATCAGTAGTTCATTCTCAATATACGAAAAATGGTTTACCTAAATGGTGTGAATTTCAATATATTTTTTTGTATAGTATCACTCATCTGTCCTAGTTAGAAGATATAAATTGATTTGACACAAAGCAAAACGTTCTCAATTCATTTCTCTAGTTTATTCTCTATTAGCATTACACGGTGGCACAATGAACAGATACTATTTTGGTGTCAAGAAATCATACTGTTGTAATCTATTGTTAAATTTTTAATAAATTATTTGTAAAGGTCAATAAGAACTACTAAGTCGAGCAAATAAAATATGTAGAATGTAATTTCCTTGTTAAAATATCGTATTGTTCATTTATTCATTACAATTTTTCAACAATAGTATTATATTATTATCATATGATTGTTCTGGTCGATATTGACAACTAAGTAAATATATTTCACTAGTTTTTTACTGTATCTATATATTAAATTATAGAAACCTATTATAACGTGTATCGAAATAGTTAGTTCACCTATAAGATAAAATCCGACATCATCTAAATTATAAATCTTCCATCTGTATAGTTGATCAATTATTAAAATTTCATTTGTGATTTGACTACTGATGCTTTCAATTTAATGATGCATCAAAATCAAGCTACATGCTCTTATTAATGCATCCGAAGGCTTTCAAGAGTAACATTTAATCTTTGAATCAAAATTATCATGATTGAACAATGAGTTGATAGTAATGAAGTTATTATGTGTCATTGAAGATATAGATGGATTGATGAAATTATTATTTTCTATGTGTTTAATTTTGAGTTTTCTTTACAACGTTGTATATATGATAAAATATTAATAAACTTAATCGAAGTCAAATACTGAAGCAACGACAAAGTAATTTTTAAAGTTCCATGCAAGTCTTGAAAAGTTTAGGTTGAATTATTCAATTATTTGAATGATTATTAGTAATCATATCAAGTAGTTAGGTCATCTTTGTAACCATTATGTATTAACCATATTACAAGCAAATATCCTCTTTTTAATTTTGTTTTAAATAGTTAACAAATCATAACTACATAATTCATACTGAAGATGTCCTTCCCAATTGAGGACTTTATAATTTAAAAATGGTTAAATTGAATTTGTAATAGTATTAAAGAAACAATTATATATTTCTTGACTTAGTACTTATTAATCGTCTTTGAAGATTATTTGACATTACGTGTACCAAGGATTAGTCTAACTTCATTCGTTGGAAATTCATCAAAATATTTGTGTCTTAGAACACAAAATTTTGCTGGAAATGTTTTCATATTCTAACAATATGTAAAATGAACAAACATTGCCTTTCCATAATGTAAAGGCACTTTATCTTTCATGGGCGTATCAATAATCCTTTTATGGCATCAGTTATAATTACTGAGGGCAGTCCAAAAATAAATGACAGTGACGCTTTAATACCGTACGGTAAGCTTTAGAAAATTTTCATTTTATACGCAGCGATTGTACAAATAATAGTCTATTTTTTTTTTGGTATTTCATCATTCGTTAATTAATATCATAATAATAAAATTTCGATAAGACCTGCTCTTCTGTCATATGTGACGGTCATACTAATGCCTACTTAAAAGGCGTAGTAAGTATTTTTTTGAATAGCTTCTAATAAAAACAAGATAGAGAGCTGCGGCAGTTCATTGTTGGAAAGAGGAAACAAAGATATATTGAATCGTATATTATACGTTTTTCTAAGGTTTTGTCTGAAATTTATTTGATCGATTTTTTAAGTGTGAAAAAAAATTTTTTCTTTTCACAGGAATGGCTAGCAAAGTCAATGAGAGATTCGACTAGAATACTTATAACTTCTGTACGGCTAATTCTAAACATCTGAAACTTGCACAATTTTGTAGATCTTTCATTGGTGACTTGCATATACATGTGACAGTTGAAAAATTTGCTGCAAACATCGAACGGGGTAGATTTGTTTTCAAAGAGGTCGGTTAAATACATTAAAAAAGATCATCTTAAAAAAAGAAACAGTAGCACATACAATTTGATACGTCTTTATCTCCTCTTTCTAATGATGAAGGCCACAGATCTATAACTTATTTCTATTAGAAGTTATTCAAAATATATTCACTCCACTTTTTAAATGCGCACTAGTATAACCGTCACATAATTATGACAGTAAAATAGCGCTTATCGAAATTTTATTATTATGATATTAGCTGAAGAATGTTCAGATATTACAGAAAAATAGACCATTATTTTTACCATCCTTGCATATAAAAAGAAAGTTTTCTAAAACTTATTGTACGGTATTAAAGTGTCACTGCCATTGTTTTTGGATTGTCCTAAGTATTAAATTTCCACAATAACATTGAAGCCTTTTCAGTTCAATTGAAGTTGTTTTCTATGTTTTTACATTTAAGTCGAAAATATGAATAGAAAAAAAAAGGATAAGGCAAATATGCCAAAATACAATGCAATTTTCTATATCGTAACATTGTCTATGTACTTGATAATATTGAAAAGAAAAAGAAGAATATTTTTGTAACTTATAGAATTTATACTATTATTATGATAAGTATGAGATAATATCCGATGATTCTTTTTCTGTTTTACAATGGTTCTAAAATATTATACGATCTTTTCGTTCGTTAGCAGAAAAAGTTTTGTCAAAGGCATCTTTTATGAGTTTATTGTCTGATCAATAAGAGAAAAAGAAAAGTAAAGCATTCATATAAAATATTCTGTTTTTAAATCGAGTAAAAGTATTTTATCACTGCTTTCAATTCGTTACTACGAATAATGATCGTTCAAGGTTTAATTCTTTTATTACTTGTGTCAGTAGTACCTAGTTATAGTCTTATATGCTATGAATGTGAATGTGATCACACTAATATATCTGCATGTGATTGTGGTACTACAAGTACCCAGTTAGATGGTTCTTATTGTCTTATCTCTGAACAAAGATCTATCGATAAAACGTATATTCAACTAACTCGAGTTCCTCGTAATGCAACTTTGATTTACGTTGAAGATCCTTACTACGTTCTTCTGCAAGAATCTATTCGATATAATCAAACATCAAGTGAGTGGTATTTATGGACGAGTGGTGCTGTATTTGGATGCGATTGGGATCTTTGTAATTCTCCAAATTTGATCAATAGGTTGCCTGTTTCATTCAATTTCTCTATTGATAAAGATTGGCTAGATACGAATATTTATGGTACAGGTTCTGTTACTGAATGTCACCATTGTCCGTTCGAAATGTGCGGTGATTCAGGAAATCCCATTGACTTCACTCAGTGTCCAATGACACCTTGTGTCAATTCACCTACGGTAATATGACCGGTTTATTAATGAAATCAGTCATTTGATGATTTTTCTAAATTATTGTTTATTATCAATAAACAATGTTTTTATTTTTTTATTTTAGTGTTTAGTCTACAATTTATGGGTTGATTTTGAAACAGGTGACCAATGTTATCAATCACAATGTGCTCCAGAGTATTTAGATGGAGAAGTAGCTCAACTTTTTGGTGGCAAATATAGAATTGATGTCGAAGCGATTGTTTATTTAGCACAAGATCGTTCAAAATATTACATTTGGATGATTGATGTATCTTGTGGTGCATATAATTGTACTCGACCAACTATTTTTTCAGAGATAGCAAATAGACTTGACTATACAATTAGTGATCTATCTATTTATCCACTTCTTCGACCTATAACAATCCCACTACCACCAACAACAACTATAACAATAACAAATCCTCTTATATGTTACAGTTGTGAATGTACTGGCACATTAGGATGTCCATGTTCATTAACTGAAGTCGTTTCGTTGGATGATACCTATTGTATTATTGCACGAGAAAATCGTGGTCAAGATATTACTATTAACTTAACTTATCTCGATTATTATGCTAGTTATAACTATATTCTTGATGCTCCATTTGTAATTGTTGAAGAAACGATTAGCTATGATGAAAAAGGTGTTCGTTGGATTACCACAACGAATTTAGTTCTTTATGGATGCAATTGGAATTTATGTAATAAACCCGAGCTTATACCACTTCTACCAAATACCTTTCAAATGCGTCTTTCAGAAGCATGGTTGAATACAAATATCTTAGGTACTGGGCAACCAGTACGTGATTGTCATGAATGTCCAGATGCGGCACAATGTGGTACAACTGATTTTCTTGATGCTAGTCGATGTCCAATTCATTCATGCAACACTACTTGTCGTGTTTCAGACACATTTAATGATCCAGCTTTCGATCTTTTATGTTATCAATCATTTTGCATCTCACCTAATGATGATCAATACAATATTAATCATCATCGTGTTGAAATTGAAGGCCTTGCTTATGCTAGTGAACCAAATAGTGTGAAAATATGGGAAATCGATCTTTATTGCCGTGCTGATGATTGTTCACGTCCTGAAGTATTCAAAGAACTTCGTGAACAATTAAGCATTGTACCTGGTAATCTTGCTGCTTTGTTCAATGAAACGCATGATCCAACGATAACACAACGACGATGTTATGATTGCTTTTGCTTAAATGAAGTGAATTGTAAATGCGATAGAACTACAATCAAGATCGCAAACACAACTTATTGTTTACTTATGCGCGAAATCAATGGTCAAGATAATTTGATCATTATGGGGCATCTTGATCAAAACTCAACTCGTGTTTATATTCGTGATCTTCCTTATATACTCATTGAAGAATCAATCTTTTACAATGAAAGAACTGGACGATGGGATCGACTAACCAATTTTGCTGTTTATGGGTGTGATTGGGATTTATGCAATCATCCTCGTCTTATACAATCTCTTCCAAATACATTTGAAATACGTCTACCAGAAGCATGGCTGAACACAAGTATTCTAGGTACTGGGCAACCAGTACGTGATTGTCATGAATGTCGAGATGCTCCACAATGTGGTACAACTGATTTTCTTGATGCTAGTCGATGTCCAATTCATTCATGTAATAGTACTTGTTTTGTTTTGGATACATTTGATGACCCGACAACTGGTGAACTATGTTATCAGTCATATTGTGCACATCCGGATGACGAAGGGTATCATATTGATCAATATCAAGTAGATATCGAAGGTATATTATATCTTAATAAACAACCTCGTGGTGTTGAGTTATGGGAAGTTGATATTTATTGTCGTGCTGATGATTGTTCTCGACCAGAAATATTTCAAGAAGTGAGTAATTGAAATGTATTTCAATAGACTCTAGTCAAAAATCATTGTATATTTCAGCTGAAATCTCAATTAACTGTAACAGTAGGTGACTTAAGTGCATTTGATGAAGTATTACCCACGACTGCACAGCCAACTATGACCCAACCAGTTACTACAAATCCGCCAACGGCTACAAATTCACGAGTGACTGTCTCAACAACTTCAAATGCATCAATCTTCACTAGCATAAATTTACGTAGTTTGCTGCTAGTATCGATTCTTCTATTCAATTTTCATTGACTTATGATTTTTCATGATGTTTTACTTATTCAACTATAGATGTCGCATGCGTGTAAAATTAATTCTTTTTGGTCTTTTTTCACCAATAATCCTCTTTCTTTTTATTTTCAATAAACCTAGCATTGGCACTCAATTAATAAATATGAAATCGGCCAGTGTTTTTTGAAACTGAAGGAAAGCGAAAATTACTCAATGATCCGAATGCAACGACCTAACTTCTAATAATTTCAAGCCGAACTGATACTATCACTATAGTTTGATCCATAGACAAACATATTCTTCATACTACCAATAAGCGAAAGCGTTTTGATTTTCAAGTTGCAATGTAACCTTAATTCTGATGTTTGCAAAATTATGAACTGGATAAGAGAATGAGAATAAAATATGTATTTAAGTTGCTTTTTCTTTTTTCTATATTCTGAATGAAGTAACTAATTTGTAAGAATCAATCTATTCTCGAGGATGATAATTGAAACCTTCGAAAGTTTCAAATAATAAAAATAATTGAGTTTATCGAATAATATAATCATTATGTTGCATTAGAGCTTCGGTATTACGTACAGTTCTCACTACGCTAGATGTCTTCGAAAAACATGAATAGTTTACTTTTATGACAATACACTTCGCTAAGCAGAATTAGTTAATGTGTGTAAAAGTTAAACTCTTTTATTTAAACTAGTTTCTGCTAAAGTTTTGATCTTAATAAAAACATGTTACTTATAAGTTTGAATCCATAATGATATTAGAAACGCTTTTGAACTGTCAATTTACAAAGCAAGAAAAGTACATGACTAAATCTATAACTATTAGTTACGATTCAGATGTCAAAGATAAGAAATATGTCGTCCATCTAAAGTTTATCGAGACTCTAAATTTGTGTATGAACTTTTCATTAAGTTATTGTAATAGTCTTAAGGTTGTAGAGAAGTATCATCTTGAAGAATACTGAATTATGATATACCTCACTATCTTTCCCAAAAGTAATATCTAACGACCACGTTGAACTTAATATCAGGAAAAAACACATTATATTAGAATGAAATTTGTTTAGTTCAGACGGATTTCAAGTAGAAAACTAAACGCTAACATCTATTTTGAACTCCTGAAGCATGCATTTAACTGAAGGAACCCATTAACATATTTTGTTTATTGCCTATAAAGCTTATTGCAAGATATAACATGTAATATGATTTGAAAACATAGCTGAATTCAAGTTTTAGCAATTTAGACGAAGTCTAAAAACATAGAATAGATATTGCTCTCTTCAAGTTTAATCCAATAATGTCCTTGAAAAGTGCAATGGACGGCATCCTTTTTATTCTTATCTTATGAATTTTTTTTTTTGAATAATACGAAAAAAAGATTGAGACTGGTTAAATGAAATATTCTCTGCAGCCTTTCGTATATTTATGACATATAATTATCAATAGGCTTTTATTTTAATGGCCACTTATATATAAAAAAAAAAGTAATCTGTTGTCGGTTTATAGCTTGTTGAGTTTGTTTCAGTAAAACAAAGGTAATATAAATCTTTCACCGCTGTTACGGATTTCGGTATAGATGTGTGTGTGGTTGTGAAGCGTCTCTACACTCACACCCGTCCTAATCATTTGTAAAGTTGACAAAGTGCCATCTTAGATAGAATATTATTTAAAATCAGCTTTAGAATTTTTGAAATACAAATACGATTCAACATAGATATAATCATATGTTTTCAAAAACTGCATAGTAGTTGCTTCTGACAGCTCTAATAAAGGCCACATTTGGCCCTTGATATGCATGATAATAGTTATTTAATCTGCCATTTTATTCAAAAAACAAAAAATATAACAATTATGATTGGTACTATAAAAACCTATGGCCATGGACAAATGTCATAAAAAATCAGCATTTTTTTCGATGAATAAAACTAATTTTCTTATCTGCACATACTTACATTAAATTTGAATAAGAATCTCATAAAAAGATATTCAATGTAACTAAATGAAGAACAATTAATTATCGGATCAAAATAAATAGATTCTAAATCAGCATGTCTTCATATTTAAACTACTGAGTTGAAGTTTCATTTTTACATTGTTAAATAGGTCTTGGATGAAGTCAGAAGAAAAATTGTTTTTGTTTACTAATGCTGCGTTTTCAATTCATATTACATGATTCTAATAACATACTAAAAGAAAGTTTGCCTATTTTTCATCAATTCACAAATGTAGTATTGGTAAAAGACATGAACATTCGCAAAGTATTTACACAAGAGACGTACGATCATAACTTTCAATGGGTTAGTGATGAGAAATCATGCTTTTTTCAAAATTTTTCTTTCGTAACGACGTGAAGCAATATACCAAACTTACTACGAGTTCTAGGTCATCAGCTATACTCTTGTTTGGAAAAAAAATAGCAAACAGGTAAAATAGATCATTTTTATTCACGATTCAATTTTATTTAGAATGCAAAAATATATATAAGAAAAATACTTTTATGATTTCCTTTCCTTTAGACATCTAATATCATCCACTAGTGATATTTCGGCTTAATCGATGATATATTGTTTTTACGATTTAATTCAATCGAACATTAGGTTCTTGTAGAAATTGCAGAAACAGAAGAAAATGAGTCTTTGGTCTTACATACTTCAATAAAAATCTGGATAGCTACTTACTCTTTATGGTGAAAAAATTTTAAACAGTACTAGGTGCCATCACATAAGTACCGTTCACCCAAATATGTATATTGACTTGCTCTCATCGCCAACAACTCTATGAATATTAGCTATGTCGGTTAAATAGTGTCGTAAATAAAAAGTCTGGAGTTTGAAAAGCCAACAGTTGATATGATCACCGTTAAATCATAATTATATATGAATTGAAATCGTTGCTATTCAAGAAAATGAAATCAATAATATTTGAAATAAAGCAGAAAGTCATTGTCAAAATTGCCCTACCAAGTGTAAATTCAATTTTTCGCCCTTGTATTTAGGTTCTATGAATAATATCAATAGTGATTTGAATAGAGAAAACTGTTTCAGACAAAGTTACAACGAAGAAAAATTTCTGAGTATATTACTAAACGCCACGGTGTCCACAAAAAACATCAGTCTAAGTTTTCAAAACCCAGAGTTCGATAATAAAAATTTGTCTAGAGAACGAAGAACGATGAAACAGAACGTTCTTAGCAGAATGAGATATCTCTGAGCTCTCCACAAACTACTGTGTATTTTTCTAATTGGAAATAGACAGAACACGTGTCTTTGGCACCTGCCGTGGATGCGGTGTAGCTCAACCAAAATTTGTTATGAAGAGCTTGGAGACATCTCATTTTCATGAGACTGTTCTGCTTCATCATCTTCCATTGTCAAGAGAAACTTTTGTCACCGGACTCTGACTGTTGAAACTCTAGGCTTTTGGCTTTCTAAAAAACCTGGATTTTCGGAAGACTTTTCTCTTCGGAAAGCTTCCAAATTTTCGCATGAGATTTTCTCCATAATTGTTCAGCAAGGAGAGCACTCCTCGTAAACTTTTTCATTCTCTTAGATCACTTACGAGGGAATCTCCTCAGGTGTCCCTCTCAGATTTCAATGAAACATTGTCCATTGATACTACATAGTGCCCTAGTAAAAACGCTAAAAGGATTTGAATGCATAGCACTTCCTTCAAAAGTTATAAATATTTTTACTTTGGCCCTATAAGGCAAAGCATACAATATATAATGGAGGGTCTATGGCAGAATCTACTAAGCTGGTCACCGCTAAAGTTTTGATCTTCGATTTAATTACCTCAAATAGTAGACCATCAATAGAATACTTCAAATCCAAAATATTAGCTCTTTCTGACTTTCCTATGAAAACGCCTAATGTATCTCAATTATACACTTTTCAGTACGTGGTAAAAAAGAATCGGTTTTTTTACGGGCCCTTATTATTTTGCACTTTTTCCTGGATCCGTTTGTTTGTTCGAGTCCGGAAGCGTGTCAAACAATGTATAAGTGTTTTTCGTACAAAATTGACTAAATATGTGATTTCTACAACACATTGTACTAATTTATAATACTAATATACGAGCAAAAGTATAGTTGACTTTTATGCTAATTTCTAGTGTTTTGCCTTTGACGACACTGACTCAAGCTATCACAAAGTAATTTTTTTCATTTTCTAAAAGCTCTTGAAGTTCTGCATCATATACGGTATTACTTTATTAGACTAAAGCATCAGCAAAAAAGTTTGTCCATGTCACAAAATGTTGATAGATGTTCGCTATATCTAATAGAAATGATTCTCAGCCATGAACATGTGTTATGGTCTAACTTTCGTTAGTCGAATTGTGATTATTTGAGATTTGAAATTTATCTTAAGTGATGTAGAATTTCAAGGGTTTTCAGAAAATATAAACATAACTTTAGGACAGTTTGAAACAGTATCGTTAAAGTCAAAACACTAGAAATTGGTACAAAAGTCAACTATATCTTTGCTCGTATATTAGTATTATAAATTAGTACAATGTGTTATAGACATAAGTTATTTAGCTAATTTTGTAGGGAAGCCATTTATGCATCATTTGACACGCTTCCGGACTCGAACAAGCAAACAGATCCAGGAAAAAGTGCAAAATAATAAGAACCCGTAAAATAACCGATTTTTTTACCAAGCACTGAAGAGTGTATAATTGAGATATATCAGGCGTTTTCATAGGAAAGTCAGAAAGAGCTAATATTTTGGATTTGAAGTATTCTAATGATGGTCTACTATTTGAGGTAATTAAATCGAAGATCAAAACTTTAACAGCGACCGGCTTAGCAGATCCTGCCACAGATCCTCTCTTATATATTGTATGTTTTGCCTTATAGGACCAAAATAAAAATATTTATAACTTTGTAGGAAGCGTTATGCACTCAAATCCTTTTAGAGTTTTTACTAGGGCACTATGTAGTATCTATGGGCAAAGTTTCATTGAAATCCGAGAGGGACATTTTTGAAGGTTCTCTCGTAAGTTTTCAATAAAATCATTCTTGAATTGATCCCATTCTTTTTTAAGGGGAGATGCAAATAATTCAAAAACGGAGAAAATCTATTTCGCGATATATTTACATGGTTCAATAGAGCTTGACGAACTCTATTAGAATATCTTTTATTAAAAAATTTTAAAACCCATTATCTGAGGTAATATTTACAAGAAGCTTTGAAAACATTCTCTTTTTCCATATAGAAAAGAAAATGCTCAATTTTTCAACAAATTTAACTTTTTAAATAGTTTTCTTCACGTAGGAAGCTTGGAAAAGTGTTAGTACGAAAAGATTCTGTATTGTGAACGCTTAATATTTCGGTCGGAACCCAATGAAGAGAAGAATTCTTTGAAGGCTCTGTTGGCCCAGTGGCCTCCCTACTATACACACAATATGAGCTTAAAAATCTTGAAATATTACAGAACTTAACAGTGGCGTTATGTCTATTTTTGAATGAGTTTTTTCGATTGTATTCACCGGCTTCGGCGAAACAATTGCTGAAAAATACAATGAGAAAAGTGACTCACACAAGAGATCATCATCAACCCGTTCTCATCACGCATCAGTCAAATATTCAACGTCAATATATATGATTTTGATCATTAACTGCCCTTGACAGTGAGGATACGGGCGATAGAAAGAAGCACCCAGATCCACACCGAGATCAAATATATATATATACCTTCAACTATTATCTAATTCATTTTGCAAGTAAATAAACTGAAGTAATTAGAAAAGAAGTTAACATTAAACCTTCCAAATATGTTAAAGACAAGTAAAAAATAAATCCAATATGTAACAGTACAAGAGATTCTACGTTGTACTCTGTGCATTTTCTATAGTCATTTATCTTTCCATCACATTTCTATAGCATCAATAATATCGTTTTATTTATTTATGAATATTCAACATTAAAACGATTTCTTATCATTTCACTCTAAATGCGTATCATAATTCGAAATGAAATTAGAATAAAAATGATCAGAATTGACATGCTATCAATATTTGCTTTATTTTGTGGGATAGTTACCATACTATCATCACCCACAATCGACCGAATCCATTTGATATATAAGCTTACTCGCGTATAAACACCAGCATAGTCAGCTAATGCACATCCAAGACCATACGAAGTTATACCTGCCAGAACCCATAGCTTGTCTTTTTCTGAATAATACATTAATGGACCACCTGAATCACCTTGACATGTATCTTCAAACAAGAAACAATATCATCTATTGTTGCGACATGATCAAATATTATTTACCTTTCCCTCCACCATTTACTGCAGCACAAAATTGAAATTCAACATTGTTGATTATACTTTGACACGTTCTTTCTTTATTTCCAATGGTTCTAACTGTCACCTGTCTGAGACTGTTAGGTAAACTACCACCTGAGGCATTACGCCCCCAACCTATGGCTACAAGTGGTCTGTTGACAATAGGATATCGAAATTGTTCAGATTCCGGCACAGTTGGTAGACAAATTTGAGCAACATTGAGATCGTTAAAATCTATTGGCTTACTAAGATATAGAATGGCAATATCATTTTTTTTGGTTCTTGAATCGTAATTAGGATGAATGAAAATTTCCGACAACGAAAGTGTTTGTCCTTCCGTACTATTTAATGTATCTGCACCTACGACGATTGATAACACACTAGGTGTGAGCACCCTATTTTCAACACAATGTGCTGCTGTAAGTACGTAATAGCGAGAGAGAATACTTCCGCCACATATATTATGTGCAAAAGAAATACGTAATGACACAGCCCAACCCCAACTATGACTGGCTGCAGTTTCACCTCCAACAATTCTTGCATTAATATTTGCATTGAATCGTGAGCAACCACATGAAGCAGTATTATCACATGAAAACACAGTTGCCTGTATTGAATATTGGCTAAGATAACTACATACGACAAGACATATAAATGCAGATCGACGAATCATATTATTTTAGTGTTGCTCTGTTATCTTGTGAAGTATGAAATATTTTGTGACACTTATGTGAGTTCAAATACTAAGAGATAACCAACATACACCTACGAAGAATTGTTGCCACAAAACAAGCATGTGTTATATTTGTTTTCATTAACTAGATGTTTTATTTATGTTCTTCATATAGATTATTATCTTACAGGTATCTGTAATAAATATTTTATTCTTATCATACTTGTCATAAAAGAACTCCTTGTTGGTGTATTGTATTGAGAAAAAAACTCCTATAAATGTAAATTATTTCACTAGAGTTAGATTCTTATCAAATGAAAACCATGTATCACTTGCAACAACAATCATCGTTCTGAATATGTCTTGTAATCGGGAAGAAAAAAATCCGGAAGACAAAAAATTCGGAAACCAAAAATCCGGAAAATCAAAAATCCGGAAAAGAAAAATCCGGAAAAGAAAAATCCGGAAAAATCTCCCACGTCTTTATAACGAACAAGAAAGGATAGTAGTCTTTCATAACTCTTTCCTATTCTCTTCGTCAATCATGATCATCGTCTGTCGGGTACCATCCTCTCTGAATTCGATTAGGAGGGAATAATCGTTTCAACAAACGAATGAACAGCTGTCACCCGAACATGGGGACCTTCGTCACTTGCCTGCAAAACGAAGAAGTGCATTTTCGGCAACAATTGCTTAAAGTGTCAACGGGTGCGCAAAAAACGAAGACGAAGAAGACTTTGGCTTTACAAGCTAAAATTAACACTCTTGCCAAACGTTTTGAGGACGATGCGATTGACCGCGCCGAACATCTCGAGGGGCTCTCTTTATTGGTGGATAGTAAAAAGTGAACTACATCACTTCTCTTCATATCAAATGATTTCTCTTCTTTATTGTACATGCTTCTTTGTTAAATAAACTGTTGAATCTTTTCACAGAATTTTTCCGGATTTTTTTCCTCCGGATTTATATTTTCCAAATTATTTTTTTTCCGGATTTTTTCTTCCGGATTTTTTTTTCCGAATTTCGGGACAATACCATCGTTCTTATCTATTACTATTTACAAAATAAATATTGTAAGAGTTCTTATTTCACCATCGGAACAATATCTGTATCATTTCATTTTTTTTCTTTGATTTCTTCATTGTGTGAGTCAATAAACACTGATATCTCGTGTTAATTAAGACAATGAATCATTCAAGACGAAGAAAAAAGTCTCATTGTTTTGTATTCTAAATTTTCTTTTGTAATTCGTAGAATAGACATAATTAAGTACTGATTCATATTATGTTGCCAATTTTCATTCATTAAAGTAGTATACAGTAAATTTATTTATTGGAAAAAAAAAAAGTTTTATTCATATTTCTATACAAACAACTTATGAATTTCATTTATGAATATTCATCGACTGGAATGCGTAAGAAAGTATGCTTCAATATAATTGTACAATTTAATTATCATTTAATTGTGCATCGTAAAATCTTACATTTCAATAGTTCATATATTCCAAATAATTTGTTACTAACCATTGATTCAAGCACTTGTTCCATATTGGCACCATTCCGCTTGTGTTACATAGCATCTATCATCGATTGAAAAAAGAATGACCAACAAAAGAAAACGATGCCATTTGAGTTCTAATTCTCCGTTCTTTTTTTTTTTCTTCTCGTTACATATTGACCTTTTTCTTTTGTTCATACTTCAATACAATCGATCAATTTACATCCAACAATAATAAAAAGAATAGAATCAACTATTCACCTGTATACAAATGTAAGAGGTCATATATTGATAACCTTTTGCCAATGAATAATGAAGTAAAATAAAGTTTACAAGATTTTATTTTTTATATATTCATTGATATTAAACAATAATAAAACGAAACAAGAAAAAAAAAAACATAGTTCCTAATAAGTTTCATGTCCCATTTTTTCTAATGTTCGAATACGTTTTCGATACCGACTTACGAATTCACTAGCTAGATATTTAAAAATTTCTGCTATGCCTTTATTATCTTTCTAAAATTTAAATAATAAAACAAGTAACAAAAGAAACTTATTGAAAGAATTCAACTTACAGCTGAACATTCAAAAAATTCCATTTTTCGACTAGTTGCCAATTGTTTACCTTCTTGTGTTGAAACTGCTCGATAATTTTCTTTATCTTTTTTATTGCCAATTAAAACACCTGAACACAATGAAAAAAAAAACAGAATTTATTGTAAAAGAAAAAAACAGGATTCTTTGTTTTCAATTTTGTTACCAAATACATTATGATCACCACGTGATTGACTTAATTGTTCAAGCCACGTAGCACAATTTTTAAATGAATTTCGGTCAGTTATATCATACACAATACAATACATATCCATAGTTACCCACTGAATTTAAATAAAAATATATATATATTTTGTAGTAGGTTATATTTTTAACAAACATACCACATCTTTTAATGAATCAAGATAAATAGAATTGCCAGAACTATCGAGTAAGAAAAATTCCTAGAGACACATAAATATATGAATTGCATCAAAGAAATTATTGAAGATGAATATATGTTTACGAACCACAGTATCATCGCTATCTGGTACACGAATTTGTTTAAGAACAAGATCGGCCATATTTGTCTATAAAAGTTAAGTTCTACATTTCTGTGAAAACAAAAGAATTGAAAAATAAGATCATTTAATCCCTCATGCTTTCCCCTTTTGTGCAATATTGTTTCTGCTTCTTAAGAATTCATATTTTTTTTGTTTTTATTTTTGACGGCGTTGCACCATAACTGGAGACAAATAAAAAACTCATTTAATATGAAATTCATGTTAAAACGGTATACTTTCATATTAAAAAAACTTCGATCTAAAAAGGATCGGTTGTTTTTAAAGATTTTTTTATTTTGATCGAATGATTGCACTTTGATGCTAATTACTGTTCTATCTTGCTTTTAGTATGTTGTACTTTGTTTTTTATTAGTAAAGAAAACGAATTCAAATATATGAAATAACAAAATTAATCAGTACGGTACCAGAGCTGAGCAAAGGATAGCACACAAAAGGTTGCCCTATGTCCACCTCTGTTTGGTATGATTTCTTTTTCATTGTTCTTTTCTTTTTTATAGTCATTTCCTATGATGAACCTATCATTAAAATATAATAAAGCAAGATATATTTATCTTTTCTTGTATTTATAATATTAGTTATTATTGAAAATTTTAGTTGTTATACTTGAAAATGATATGAAATAAATTAGCTATAAGATAATTAATAAACTAATATGTACTTTGATGATCAAAAGTCAAAATCAGGATTCTTATTGTCCTGTACTCAGCTCTATTTTGTACGTCATGTTGGTCAAAAATAAGGAATATTGCTATTGTACCGACATTTTAACTATAGTGGAAGTTTTGAAATAATTCAAATATAATTTATATATGTACTTAAGCTGTGAACGTCCTAAGAGTATACACTGAAAATTTCAGATCATAATACTGTTTTGTTCCAAAGTGAATTTCGTATTTAATGAGTTTCCTATTTGTCTTTGATTGACATACCGGTATGTATTCAAAATAAAAATGGTTCGATTTAGTAGCATTTTTTCAAATCTATTTATTGCAAAAGAAATAAATTCAAAAACTATATCTTATAAGTGTAGAAATTATATTTCTAAACGGCATACGTTTGTTTTTTGGCTTATTCAGTAGAATAGTTGAGTTTTCGAAACTGACAGTATCTAATACCGATAAACCATAAGAGAGAAGAAAAGAGTTTTTCAAATATTCATTTCATTTTAAATTTAAATCAAAATATCTTTTTTGAAATCAGTTTAAATTTTCATTCAACAAATTTAGTTACATTTGAGCCTATTTGTGTATTTTTCTTGAGTCTCCTTTCAAACATTGTTATCTCTATGAGCAAGTGATTAGTGCTGAGCTTGCACGTGCATATATTGACAAGATAAACTTACACAATTATATGTCTTAGGAAAAGCTGTTGTATCGTTACCAGCAACATGACAAATAGCTGTTTTGCCAACAGTCATATCACCTAAAATATCCATAATAAACCATTTTTTTATCATTCAAATTTACAAAATAACTAACCAGCTACAACTAATTTTCCATGTAGAAGTACCATTTTGTTTTATTGTTTTAATAGAATAGTTTTCTTTAAACAAATAAGCAAAAGTAAACCATCATATTATTATGATGGTTAGCAATGACCTTTATGAATTATATTAGTATTAACTAATTATTATTTATCTATATTTTCAAATAATTAAGATAGATTAAATAATATTGCAATGAATTTTTAGCTGTAGTGTTATCTAAAAAATTGATTCTAGTGACAACTGTATGAAATTTGATTGGTCGAAAAATATATTGATGAGTCAATTGTATTTTTGAGCGAGTCAATAAGCAGTCATCATTCATTCATCTGTCATTTTCGTCTCAAGAATGACTTCTCCAAGTTCATTTCGTCTTGATCAAAGAGTATCCATTGCTGGTAAAGGTTTAGGCACAATTGCATTTGTAGGAAAAACAGAATTCGCCGAGGGTAAATAAACGTTTTAGTTTTGTTTGACAAATTTTAATATACATATATTTCTACAGGGGAATGGATTGGTATTATTCTTGATGAACCAAAAGGCAAAAATAATGGCACTGTACAAAAGAAAGGTATTGTCTTTTGAAATTTATTTTATATCTTATTTGAATAAAAGATTCTAGGAACAACGGTTTCATATTTTTCATGCAATGATAATCATGGTCTTTATGTTCGAGCTGGACAAATTGAATCTATTATTAGTGATTCTCAAACAAATCTTTCACGATCAGCTTCTAGCCAATCAGTTAAATCTCAAGCAAGTAGTGCAGTAAGTATTCCTACACTATCAACACCCGGAATTCCAACAAAATCATCTGGTTTACCATCGAAACAAAGTGGACTTCGAGCACCAACATCACATACATCTATACGACCTGCAGGTATATTATAATTAAAGAGATAGAAAAGACATTCTTTTATAAGCAGACGAGAGAAAAATTTCAACATTTATTTTATCATAAATTAGGAATTGATATTGATGACGATTCAACAGGTAATAAAATGGCAGCTAGTTTTTACTCTATGCATGACACTTTTTTTTTTTCTTCTGTCAGTGCCAAGAAATCGAGATTTTACAAGTAGTAATGTAATGAAAATATTTTAAAATTTTTCAAAAAATCATTCAAAAATAATTTTTTTCTTGTTGATGTTATGTCTCTTTTTTTTGAATTAATTCATGGTTATGGTTAATTTAACTTTTTCTTATCTATTATCATTTAATATTATTTTCTTTTTTTTTTCGTTTTCTCCTCAAGGCTTGACTCGTACAACTCAGTCATCAATTGAAATTACTACAATAGCGACAAATGAAAGAATCTCACCACCAAAAGAAGAAGTTAAACCACCTCCAACACCTGTATCCCAACCTACACCAACAGTCTCTGTGGTAATATATATATATATGTCCTTTCTATTCAACTTTTATTGCAAAAAGAAAGATAAGAACAAAGAGTTAATTTAATTATTTCAATACTTAAAATGTCTGTTGTTTTTCTTTGAAACAGAATTCCTCTTATATTCAAAATACTTGTTAGACTCGACATATGGATCCATCGCTTTCTTACCGATTGCGGATTATCGGCCATGATAGTTCTGAATATGACTATAAGAAATTTTCTTATGTGTTTAGAAAACTAGCATAATTGATAACCTGCAATCGGTAAGAAAGTGATCGACCAATTAAAATTATTTCCTCATAACTTAGATTTAAAATACTACTTTTATTGAATTGATTTCAAAGAGTAGCAAAAACAAAATGTATCATATATAATTTAGCCATTGCCAGCACCTTCAACTCAACCAACTAATATTCAACGAAGTTCAATCTCAGATCCATCTGAATCTCAACAATTAGTTAATAATCTCAAAAGTAAAATAGTAGATCTAGAAGAACAAATTCAAACATTAGTAAAAAAACGTCGTGATGATCTTGAAAAACTTAAAGAATTTGAACGTACTAAAATTCAACTTGATCAAGTATATCTATAAAATATTTCTTTATCGTATAAAAATCAATCATATATATATATATATATTTAGTTACAATCATATAAACGTGAAGCACAAGAACGTATGAAAGAATTAAATGATAAATTACAACAACAAGAAAATGAACTTAAAGATACACGTGATAAATTTGCTGCTTATCGTGATGACATGAATGATACTGAGGAACGAATTGAATCACTTGCACTTGATCTTGAAATGGCTGAAGAAAAAGTAGTTTTGATTCTTTTTTTTTTATGTTGTTGAAGTTTTATTACATTATGATTTTTTTCTTTGATTTCATAGCTTGAAACTGTAACATCAGAAAATACAGCATTAAAAGAAAAACTTGAAGAAGTTCAATTAGAATTAGATGTTATTAAAGGTGAAATACAATTAAACGGACCTAATCAAGTAGCGAATGGCATACAGAAAAAAATTGATGATGAACGAACAATTAAATTGGAACAAGCATTAATTAAGTAAAAATTTCTTTTAATTCTTTCTTTTCGAATTTATTCGATAAAATTTTCTATTTAGATTACGGGATTTATCATTAACAAAACAAGCTGAAAATGATATATTAAAAAAACAATGCGAAATATTAGAACATAAATTTAAAGGATTAACAAAAGAGAATGAAAACGCTAAAACAGATATTACAACAATGCAAACAACAATTGCTGATTTAAAAGAACAGGTTTAATTAGAGTGTATAAATAAGCATTCATAAAAATCGTATTTTAAATAGAATAATAGCATTTCTTTGGAAATGTACAATTGAGAATTCATTTTTTGTCTTATTTAAGTTTTTAAAATCTAGCTGTGAGTTTTTGTCACATCTTTATTCTTAACTTAAATATATGGTATAAAAAATATTCAAGAACAGAGAAGTGAGCACACTAGTTTCTAGTTTGCTTTTCTATAGTTTATTGTTATGATTATTGATGTGCAGCATCAAATAAAACAAAATTATTTTAGCGAACAAATATCTCATTTTAATTTGATTGACATTATATATGATACTCACATTCTGTAAAACAAAACATCTCATTATAGTTATAATTTCAAATTTCAAATATTCGACCACCTTATCCAGAGGAATAGATTGAATCTGTGATGAGGATAGACTGTGTACATGACTACTTTTCAGAAACAAATGTAAGCGACATATGCTGAGTTGAGAGCTCATTTCAGTCCCAATAAACAGGTTTTTTTCGTGGTCCGATTCTTTTAAAAATCAGTGACTGTTTCTGCACTATGAGGATCGTAAGTTACCCTTACTTTACCAGTAACCGTGTAACGAAAAATTTGGGATTTTATCAAAAGGTTATTTTTCGAAAAATAGGTTTTCCTTGATACGGTCGCGAAATGAGTCAAAAGAAAAAAATAAAGAAATACGAATGCTCGATCATTTTCCGAAATCCTTAGTTCGTATTACAGCTTTGGATAGAGCAAAAAAGCTGTCATCTTTTTACACCATTTTTTCAAAACTGATACATCCCTAACCATAAGCTCGTAATGTAACTTGCCGTCTGTAGTTTTGTCATGTTTAATACAGTAATCAAAATAGATTTTCTTCATTTACAGGTTGATACATGTTTGGGTTCTCAACAAATGGTTGATATCTTAACAACTAAAAATCTATCACTTGAAGATCAAGTTCGAGAATTACAAGAAACAGTTGATAATCTTGTAAGTTTTATATTCATTTTATTTTAATCTAATATCTTTGCTGATTTTCAATAGGAATCCCTTTGTGATATGGATAAAGGTAAAAGTAATTGATAATTTAAAATCTAGTCTGTTTATTTTTTTTTAAATAGAAATGGAAGAACATGCTAAAGACCTTGAACATGATTTACGTGAAAATATTGATTTATTACAAAACCAACTTCGTGAGGTTTGAACTTTTAATTTCTGTGATTTCTTGTTTTTTTTTTAATGTCCAAAAGATTGGTCGTTTTAGAAAGAAAGACAAATCGAACAACTTCAATATACAATTGGAGATCATGAAAGAACAATATTAAAATTTCGTGAAACTGTTAAAACTATGCAAGTAAGATTTTTTTTTTCTTTTTATTCTTTAAAAATATTCTTTGTTTTTTCTCTCCAATAAGTTTCAAAATGAACAAATTAAAAAACAAATTGAAAAATATGATGAACAACTTAAATTAGTTGGTTCAGCACAATCAAGTGAATTTAAAGCAAAAATTGTTGAAACAAAAACTTATGGAGAAATTATTGAAGGTGAATTAAAAAGAATTGATGTACATAATTTATCACGACATGTTCAATTATTAACATTATTTTTACCTGAACAATTTATTAAACGTGGTGCTGATCATGATTGTATACTTGTATTTTTACTTATACAACGATTAATTGCAAAATGTGATTTATTAACAAATGAAATCGAAAAAAAAGTTGAAAGAATTCACCAATTAAATTTTGATGATGTTATTAAATCACATCGTGCAGAACAATGGAGTTTTAGTTGTAAACTTTGTTTATCTTTATCAATTTTTCGAATGATTCTTAGAAAACATCTCAAGTAAATTCTTTTGTTTTAAATCAAATAGTTTTTTTTTATTTGAAAATTTCAGAGCAATGGAAACATGTAATCCAGATACACTTCGTCTTTTAGCAAGCACATATCATGATTTATTATCATATGAAAAACCACTCGATTTTCTTATTGATCTTTTACAAAAAGATCAAATACATGATTCAATATCATTAAATGCTTTAGATAAAACAATAAATTTTTATGAAGTAATTTATATTTTGTTTCCTTTTTTTTCTTGTTTATTTCAATTATTTCAATTTCATTTTAGCATATTTATAAAAGTTATTTAAATCAAGAAAAATTTTCTATGTCAATTTATATGCGAGATTTAGCACGTATTGTCTTATTAAGTAGTGATGCACTTCAAACAGATATTCAACGTATACAACTTTTACAAAAGGTATAAAATAAAGATTTTTAAATAATAAAAATAAATATAGATTTTTGTATTGAAATATAGGAATATGGACAGGTAAAAATGCTAAATGCATGAAAGATATTTTTATTAGTAAGGTGCATTGCATGAACATTGTATTGCTACTTTATTCTGTATTCAGCAGTATATTAGCTCTTAATTTCAATAGTCAATTATACAGCATTTGCCAATTAGAAATTTAGTTTTTCATGGGTTTTATTGCCCTTCTTGTATCGCTCTTACGGGACCAGCGCAAAATCATTACAAAAGTAGCCCTTAGGATATTATTAAGACTTAGTTTCAACAAAAAGAACCAAAATCTTCTATAGTCTGCAAAAGGCTTTTATTCAATTCATCACTATAAAATAAACATAGATTGCAATCGAGAATATTTCTAGTCGAAAAATATTATAAACATCATTTTATTAGAAATGTAAATTTTATTGTACATGCCATTCTAAAACACAATAAAAGAAAAAACAATCATGACGACAATAGGTACAAACTTTTTAATGCTATGTAGTTTGAGACAAAAACATTAGAAAATAAATGTTAGAATAAAATCGAATTCCGATGAATATCTAAATAACTTTTGTTTATTCAAACATTTATTTTCTCATTTTTTGTCTCAAAGTTCAATTCACTGGATTTATATTTCGATATTCTATCAATTGGTGAGAATTTCAAGTCAAACAGTGTTACTGACTCATATCTTAAAAACGGTATTAAAAAAAAAGATCTTCATAAATTATATTTGTATCAATATTATTTATCAATCTGAATAAAAAAAAACTCATAATTGCATATTTTATCATCTAACTAAATTTTTTTTCAAATAATATCTATTGAAAAATAAAAACACAATGATTACTCATATATATAAATATTTAAATTATCATTTATTTGCTTATTCTAATGCTTAAATGAAATTTATTTAAAAACAAAAAAAAATTCTCCATCTTATAAATAATATTGTCTGCTTATTTTTTTTTTATAGCCTGGTAGCGATCAAAGTCCATTTGCTGTTCTTGTTAAACGTCTTGTCGAAAGTAATGAAGAAATGCGAGCACAAGCAGCCAAAGTAATTAAATATTTTCTAATTTAATCCTTTATAATAAACTTATTTATTTTTTTCATTAGATTAATCGTCTTGTACCACAAGAAGATGATATGAATCGTTCATTAACTCTTGATACTGATACAATATCTTCTATTGAATTAACTGTTCGACATTTAGATCGTTTAGCTAAAACATTTCATGAAATATGTACTGATTTAACAACTCAAATTTTATTACTTACTGGTAATATTCATTTTTTTTCCTACTAAGGGATACATTATTTATTTATTATTTAGATGCTAATGAACGTGTAAGTACACAAGATATTGAAAGTATTGCATATCAAGCATGCGATAAAGTTTATAAGAAAGAAGATAGTGGTCCATATGATAGTCTTTGGTAAATGAAATAAAAAAAGTTTCGATCTTTGTTTTTTCTATTTAATCATAAAATTTTATACAGGGATTCTATGCATGAAACTGTTACAACATTAAAAACAATTGGTAATTCACTTGAACATGGTTTATTTGATTCAAATTTAAATGAATCAAATGAAAAAGTAAAGTAGCAAAATAAATGAAACATTAGAATTATTGATTTTGCTTTTTGTTTTAGCCTAAACAAGCAATTTATTTAATTGCTGAACAATTAAAAACATCAATGAATGAAGCAGATTTAATTCGTAGTCGATTAGAATTAAAAGAAGAAGAATTAATTGATCTTAAAAAAATGTTTAAATTAAAACATGATGAATTAAGTGAATTAAATATACGTTTATCATTGAATGAGAAAAAAGTTGAAGGATTACAAAAAGAATCTGATGAAAAAGCTAATAAACTTAAACAAGTTTTAGAAGAAGCTCGAATTGATGCTGAGAAAAAAATTAAGTAAGTTAACTATTCTATTTCAAAATTTTATTATGTCATACATATACTGAGAAGTTATCTTATAAAAGATTTAAAATTATATGAATTGAAGGTTACAGTGATTATGAAGTTTTATCAACCATATTAAACTTATGGATATTTCCATCCTACATTTTAATTATTACTTTTTTTACATGATTCCGATGGACATTAAAATATTCTAGTTAGCTGTGATATTTTTTTTTAATAAATAGTTGAAAGACATTTTAGGATATCTGGTTCAATTTTGAAGTGAAAATAATATTTCTCAACTGAATTTTGAATTTTTCTTTGGACGAGGTTCTCAAACATGAAAAGTGGCACTCGATCGTTAAATAGCTATATTTCAGAAACTTTTAAGAGCTAACACTTTGATTACATATTGTCCATATAAGACAGCTAGAGCTGTTTAGGTAAAAAGTTTTCATCTCTCGTGAGTGAAAAGTGATTGACATTTTCATGATATAAGGAATAAAATGTTTATTTCTCACGAATCATTCAGAAAAAGAAAAATCTAAACTTATTAAGTGCTCAACATTTGCTATTAACAATGATCATAGAAATTTAGAACTCCTTAGCTATTGTAGTTGAGAAATAATATTCAGTGGGTTAATACCTATAGGTTTATAAAGTCAGTAAGTCATTGAAATGTAAAGGTAGAAATTTGGATTCCCGATAGATGTTGTTGATATTTGAATGATTTCCTTATTGCATTTGTGAAGGATTAAATGAAAAGATGGTGAAGAAATATGTCCAAAAATAGATAGAACATATTAATCTCTCTGTGGAATTACATCGTGTTTCACATTTTAATCCTAAAGGAATTGTGCTAACAGTTTTCTTTTTATAAAAAGAATATAGTTCCAGAAGGAACAAGTGCTCTTCTTTTTGTTTAAACCCAACAGTATTCACTCTATATTAACATTTTATTGAGTTTTTGAAATTATTCTTTTCAAAGTTTGCATTACATCTGACAGATGAGGTTTTTTTAAATTTACATATTTTCTTTTACAATTGGAAAGCTTTTTTAATTTTACTTAAATTTATTGGTTATGCACTTAGATAGTTATATTGCAATATAATTATCCTATTGTAACATTCTAACAGTAATAACTAAGTAGTAGGAAAATACGTTTTCTTTTTAATATGCCGATAACATTTTCATATTTTCAAAAAGTTTCAAATTGAATTTTTTCTTCTATGATAACGGAATATTTCATATAGTATACTTTTATTTGTATAGACAATGTGAAGATGCTATAGCTGTATTACAAAATGATAATGAGCAACTTGAACAAGAAAAAAGTGCATTAAAAGAGCGTCTTAAACAATTAACAAAAACAAAACTTGTCGATGATCTTATACAGAAAAAAGTTGGTGCAACACAACGAACATCTGGTTTACTAAGTAATTAATTATAACTTTTTTCCCTCGTTTATTATCAAACTTCTTCTTAATTCAGGTCCTACAACTGATGGAGGAATTTCTCCACAACGACAATTATCATCATCATCATATAGCAATGAAGGAATTATTGGATCAACAGCCAACGAACAAGAAGTACTATTTGTGTTTTTTTAATATTAAATAGATTCTATATATATGTATGTTAAAGATAATAGCCCTTCGAAATATGATTCGGTTATTAAAAGATGAAATATGGCAATTAAAAATGTCTCGTACATCAAATGAATTATCAAAACTTCAAATACCATTAAAAGATAAAAAAACTAATGAAATCGCTGATATTTATAAAAGTTCAACATTACTTTTAAATGTATGTTTAATTCAGAATAGAATTTGAAATCAAAAACAAAAACTTTTGTGTTTTTTTTCTAGGATTTATTTACTACAATTGCTAATTATAAGATTACAGGAGAAAATGTTGCTGTTAAACAAGAATTAATACGTTCAAAAATGAAATTAGTTGATCAAACAGCATTTAATGTAAAATTGTTTCGTGTTTTTTTTCTTCAATATTTATTTGTGTTATTTTTTAGCTTAATAATCGTCTTAATCAATGCCAAAGTAATATTCTTCCTGGTTCAACAATACAAACAACAATGAAAACATTTTCAAATCCACAATTTTCTAAAGTTTGTATTCAAACACAAAGAAAAAACAACAAAAACTAAATTTATACGTTTTTTTCTAATCTTTTAGTCTCTTACACAAGATCGACAATTAGCAGCAGAAATTCATTTACCTGGTATTAATACTGGTGGTGAATTTGATATAACTCAAGAACAATATCGTACTATTATGCATGAAGTTATTGGTTGTAATTAGTTCTATTAGTATTCTTTAATTGACATCTTTTTTTCTTTTTAATATAAAAATATTTTCTTGTGACAGCATAAATGTAAAAAAACAAACTTCTTAAGTTTATATCAATATTTATTTTTTTTTCTTCTTCTTCTTTCCTTTTTTCTTTGTTTTGGTTTCAGGTGGTTGCGTAAATTTAAGAAACAATTCTAAATAAAAAACAAAATAAATATTTAAAGAATAAAATGAGAAAATTCTTTTTTTCTTCTTTTATTTCTCATACCATTATAATCAAATAAACCAAGTTCATTTATATTAATACTTTCTTTAAATGCATTAGCTTCGATTTCATCTAATTTTTCTCCAACATTTGTCAAACTTTTTAAAATTTCATCAGCTTCTAATAAACCACGTCTTTCTGTATCGAATACTTGAAATGCTGGAATTATATCTTTATCAGTAACACTTGTTGGAATACTTAAAACAGCACTAACATATTCAGGAAATTTTAATTGTTCAGTTTCTTAAGAAAAAAAAATGAGTTCGATATTCATCTCTTTGTTTTCGTTTTTTATTTGTTACTTTGTGGATCAACTTCTTTCATTGCTCGTTGAACATCACTTTCAACTGGATTAAAACCGATTGTACGAAGAATATTTCCAAGTAAACTTGTTTTAATAAAACCTTCATTTTTTGTATCATACGTATCAAATATATCTTTCATTCCTAAATTGTTTATTTTAAATTTAGGTGTTTTTTTTTTTGCTAATATTGTTGAAGTGAGTTCTCGAAATGCTGTTGAAAATGCATTATATCAAGTGTACTGTTTCTATGTATGTTTTTTTTTTAAATTGATATTATCATGACAATATTGAAATATAGAACTGAATTTTAATATAAGAAAACAAAATCTTTCATCACATGTCTTTCTCACATTTTGATATTTATTGTTTTTTTTGAAACGTTAACCTGCGAAGTACACTATTTGGTTGTGTAGAAGTTCAGTTGATAAGAAATGAAGAAAATGAAAGAGATCTACCAGAAAGGATATCTTAATTGATTTCGAGAATTAATAATCATCTAGTTTGTTTTATATTAAATAGCCGACATTCTTTCTAATGATTCTCTACCGAGAAGACAAAAAAGATCTTTATTTATCTGTTTGATGACATTTTTCATGTTGATCTTTAATTCAGAGGATCCAGGATAGTTGCTTCGGTGGTTACCTCACTTTGTCTCACAATGAATTACAAAAGATATATAATATTTCACTAAATAAAGAACATGTTTCTTTTCTATTCCGAAGCATTTTATGCACAACCATATTGGAAAATTTTTCTATAGTAACAAACTATAGCAAAATGTTCTTCTCAGGCGAAACAAAGTGATTTATGTTCTATCGAATTGACTCTATGACGATGTTGATGGAAGACAGACACATCATTGGTGTGCAGATTCAAGAAGTTAAACTTTCTATTTCTAATAAGCAGAAAAATGTTGATAAGAAAATGTTCAGCGTTCATTTCACTTTAATATCATGCATAACTCAATATATGGTTAGTTTTGTAAAAATTTTAAATTTTACAATTTTTGCTTTTTATTTATCAAAATATATGTGCTCTTTTTATAGGACACTCTTTTTGAAGGACTTCGATGAGATTTTTAATAGAATAGTGTGTCTAACTCTCAAACTAGTGGAAACAAGATCTTCAGCTTTCAATAAATTGTATCAAAAACTTTATTAGAAGTTTGAATTTTCTTATTGCAAGAAGTGTGAATAGATAGTTTCATATGAATATTTCTTTTTTGAATAACATATACATACAGATACAAAGGATCTTATCTCTGGTTGATAGAGTCACTTAAAGTCATTTGTAAAATTTTCTCAGAGTATTCGTTTGTCTTTTAACGAAACGAAGTATGTGAACAGCATTAACTTATTAGGTAAGCTAGTTTTATTGTGGATATCAACGCTAAACTTTTTCCAAACCGCGAGATACAGATATTTGCAAGGAATGCTAAATAGCTAATGTTTATCTTTACTTCCATGATGTCAATAGCTCAAGTCAGTTTCCATAGTAATGACTTTGATTTGAACGCCTAATAGAAAAAAAAGAACAAATCTATGATCATACCTTTTAAATCATCAGGAGACAAAACACCATTCTATGATAAATAAATTTCTAATATAAATTAATGATATTCTTTAACTTACATATTGAACAGTAAGATTTTTCATCATTTCAGCTTCAGCTTTCTTTTGTTTATCTGTTTTAGGCGGTTTTTTATCAGCATGCTCTTTGTTATTGCCTTTTTTTGGTGGCTAAAACGAAATTATTTTGAACACAAAAAAAGTAATCATTATAACTTCTTTTACCATTTTATCCTCTGAAGTTTTTCGTTCTACGTACAATGATGAATCAAATTACCACATCTGAAAAGAAAGATCATTGATTTGAGTTGATGGTGTTGCAAAAGACGAACTACTCTTGACGTACACGTGTTTTTGATCTTTTTCCTTTTAACAATTACAAATAAGGAACTTTTTTTCTTCCCGATTCTTTTTTTTGTATATGTTGTTTGGTTGAATGTTGTTTTTTCGGCAGAGAAAGGAGAAGAAAGCTGTTATGAGTTACTAAGAGTATCCGAGCAAATAAATGGATGGTGTATATAAAACAGACCAAGGGAAAGTAGGAGAGAAAAAAGAATGTGTAATGTCATTTTTACAAAACCTTCAATATTCTTTTGGATGTTGATTGGCTAATGTTCGCTTTTATAATTCTGCCTCTGGCACAGAACAATGCTTTGAACTGAAAAGAAATCTTTCTATGTAAATATACATGTGCTGCTTTAACAACGAAAAAATAGAAGACAAAAAAAAATTTATTCTATTAAGATGAATAGGATATGAAACCTTTAAATTTCTGTAAATAAGTTCTTTTTATGCTGAGTTGACAACAAAAAAAGTACAATAACTTTGTTCGATGCATAATATTTACCAGACATGAACTTGATACTCCAGATTGTTTAATACAATAATAGCAAAGAAAAACAATATTTTAATCTTCTTTGGCGATTGATAGAATGAAAAAAACACAGATGTCTGGTGCACTTATGTATTAGAAATATATAAAGTCGATGTAATGTTTTTCGTCAAGGCACAAAACATATACAAATTCGACATGCTAAATAGATCAACTTTTAGGAAACTCTAAGAGAGATATAATTTTCATAAGATATATACTAAATCTTTAGCATCAATGTATTTATTTGAAGAACTTATTGAAAAAAAAACATGTAACAATTGTTTTCTTTGTGGTAATCTATCAATGCTCCTTTGAAATGTACGATTATTGAAAGTTATTTTTATTAAAAATCAATCTTGAACTGAATAGATAAATAGTTATGTCTTAAATTTTTTATGGAAAAAAGTCAAATTGCTTTTTTCTAGATCATTTTTGTGGACCAACGACAAGATCCATTGATATAATCGCTAGTCGTTTTTTCTTGTTATCATTTTCATCTTGTGTTGTTGTTAAAATATATAATTCATTATCATCTGAACTGATATCCATAGCTAAAATTTCTTGTATCATAGGATTACGAAACCAATCAACTATTTCACATTGTTCATTAAATACCACTATACTTAGAGTTGCTAATGAACGAACAGCAACATATAAATATTTATCATGAACACATAATGATCCAGGTGAAATTGGATTTACTGAATTATCAACGAAATAAAATGATTGACGTGCTGCATTTAAACGAAACCTATGTAAACAATAGTTTGCATCATCGCTAACATAAAGATTTTGATTAAAAATAACACATGATACTAAATTGTATCGTTCAGAAACATTTGCAATCACAACATATTGTTGAACATATTCAAAACAAAGACCGTTACTATCAATTTTATATTGTTGAACACAATATTGACCACGATCAACAATATAAAGATTAGTTTCATCATTGTGTGGAATGTAAAGATATGATATATGTTTAAATTGATTAGGTCCATTACCTTCTGTACCATATTGAGCAATGATTGCTTTTTTCTCTAACGATACGACTCTTACTTCATATTTTGTTGCTAAATAAATGAATGACTGTGTTAATGCCATACCACAAAGATCATCATGTGACATAGAGAATTCCGAAAAATCAAGGGTCCTATGAATATTAGTTGTAGCGACTGCTGTTGGAGGTTGTAGTTTTGGAGTTGTCAATTTTGACAATGAATCTGTTGAAGAGTTCGAATTAAGCTTTAAAGAGCTACCATGCTTATCCGGATTATTTTTATTACGCCGAGTTTCTCGAAATCTTCGTACACGTTCATCAAGAATTATTGATTTAGGAATTACCGCTGACCATGTTCTCAATTGATGACTTAAAATGATTTGTTCATTATCTGCTTTCATATAAAAGGGGAATTTCGTCTTATCAAGTTTTTCAATAGTAATTGGCACTGTTATATTTGAAGTATTTTTTATGAAAGAAAAATTATAGAAAGAAAATATTTTGTCGGGTACATTACAAAATTTTTTTCGAAAATCTGGGAATTGTTCAGACAAAATTTTTATTCTTGTCATGGTAGGTGTTGTTCCTTCTATGATTCGACATAACTCATGTAACTGTAAGCTGACGTCACGAAATTTGTTTTGGTAATCATCTTTTTTCATGAGTAAACGCTCAAAAAAATTTCGATCGCGTGCTAAATTTTTCAAAGCATTGTGAGCGTCATCTATTACTAAATTTAACGATTTTATACTTTTGAGTAAAAAAGCTTCATCATGTACGGTAGCTCGCTGAGCGAAATACTGTAACTGATCCAGTGTATCTTCAACAATTTTTAAATCCTTTGTCATGCGGATTGCAGATTGTTTAAAATCAAAATTAATCGCGTCTGAATCACGTATGGCAATAGCCAATTGGAGGGCACATTTGATAGTGACGCAAGTAACACCAATGATATCGAATACAGACATGTTTTTTTCTATGTAATAAATTAGATAGATCGAGTTTAAAGAAATCTCAAAAGATCATTTTGTCCTACTTACTAGAAGTTGGCTCTTTTATCTAAAGCGATCTCGTCAGAATAATTTAACGAAGTGCATGTTTTATCCTTCATCAAAACAGTTTTTTTGCCATTGACTTTTACACGTTGTTATCTTTTCGGGCTCTTTATTATAAGATACCAAACAAGGACAAGAAATTTGATAAGTGTATGTTGATGACGTCAAAAATGAATTCATGATTATATATTATGTTGTTCTCTTGTATTCTTTTGCAAACAAATTGCAGAACAAAAAAGAAATAAAAGAGCTGATTAGAATCATGTGTGTTGTATTTTCAAACATATGTTCTGCTCGTTTAGTTTTTACGATTATTTTCTGCTGTAAATACCAAGTCACTATGCTCTATTATTCAATGAACCCCTTTATATTTTGTATCCTTGAGAGTAAAGGATGTCAAACGGGCTATTTTACATGATGAATTCCAATCGTGTGAGATCTGACCTGTCCACTAGCGTTGATTTTACCGTTTACAAGTTCTCAATTATTGTTTTAACGATCAAAGTACATGTTGCTTGTCAATGATACTAGATTACAAATTGTGTAAAAACTTCTTATTTTGGAAAAAGAATTAAGTATTATATGATTGAATGCAATAACATTTTCTAGCCGTTTAGAATAACATATTTTTGAACTGAATATTCAAGATATAAATGCGAATGCTTAGGATGTAATTGCGTACATTTATTGATGATATTGACTGAAAATAGAATGAAATATGCCTATTGCATAAAAACGACAAAATTTTGACATGAATATATTATTGATGATAAAACAATGTGTTATATGAAGAAGTAAAAGAGAACGAAGAAAAAATTCTATGGTTTGAAAATGCATGATAGTCTAAGCACTACGATGAATGGTAGTATCTTACATGATTGCTTCTTCTTTTTATCGATTCTGTTTCTTAATAAATATCGTGAACTGCATATAGATATGATACTAATTGATACTGAAAAATATACAATGATTTAAATTCAGAAAAGTTCTGAACAATATCACTCGAGCGGAATCATTGGAAATTATTCAAAATTGAAAGTAAACTTCATTTCCATTAGATATCCTATTTAAAAAAAGAGAATAACAAGATATCATATGTCTAACACAAGCTGTAGACTACAGGAACAAGTTAATGATTGACAAGATAGATTACAAGGTTAAAAATCAATATTACTGATTATAGTTGGACGCTAAGGATTATTTTCAAAAAAAAAAGTAGAAACGATATATCAAGCTTCATTGTGTACTAAATATTAAGAAAACAAGATTCCAGAGAATCGCACAATCTACAGTACTAATATGCTTTGATCGAGATTATGAGAAAAATAAGCTGAATTCTCTTATCAATGCCTCATTTAGAACAAAAATTGAAACTACAATGAATCCAAGAGTTTTCACTTGAGTATTGCTATTAACTCTCAACTGATAAAGATAATATAGAATTTTATCCTGTTTTGGTATCACATATTATTACACACTTAAGATGTACGAGCAAATTATGCATTATTTGATAATGAAAGCAAGTGCAGGTTTATCCGTGTGCTAGAACTTGTTTTTATACAAGATCGTCTCAATATATGAGTATGTATAAATTAGATATTAAAATCTTTCTTTTCTTCGTTTCTGGATCACCTTCTTATGTTGCTAGTTGAATACCATTTTCAACTAGATCATAACAAATTGTACAAACAATATTTCCAACGGCTCATGCTCAAAAGAGATACAATTTTTGTATAGACAAAGCACATACAAAAAAGCAAGCAGACATGCTTAATAGCGATTTGTATAGATATTGTTGATTTTCATAAAGATTTAACTATTTATTGATTCTCCATTTTTCTAACTCCCTAGATACTTAATCGTCAGCACTACTTAATCAATTTGCAACGCTATTTAATCGATATTCATAGTTACTTAATATATATATATACATATCTATTTACTATTTATTGGCAGCCATTTATTTATTTTTGCATATTTCAAGCTGTTATGCTACTCAATCCTAAGCAATATTTAAAAATTTCCAGCTTCACTGAACAAATATGCAGATCTATTTATTTAATACTAAGCTACTCATTTATTCTTGCTGACTTGCTTCGAGCAAGAGCAAAAAAAAGAAACAATTGCTCAATGAGCTACTCTTCAATCTATGAGCATTCTTAAAAACTGAGCATAGTTTTCACTATGACTCATAGTCGAAAGATATGCATTGTATGCAAAGTAGATTTCCATATTCAGGTAGAATGAATGATTACATGGTCAAACTAAATACAGTGAAGTTTCTCTAAAGTGAGCACAATCCGGACTATTCAAAACCGTTCATAATAAGAAGGTGCTCACTTTCGAGAGGTCCATTTTGAACAAAAAATTATTTTTCGAACTGCTTAAAAACGCTCATAATAACGAGGCTTTAACTATAGAGAGATATTCACTATCAGAGGTTTTACTGTAGTTCAAATTATCAACTATGAATGACAGACAGATATATTTAGTTATTTAAATTATCTAAAATCTGAGTTTATTTTTCTTGAATAATTTTGATACCTTAAGAATAAATACGATAATATTTGAGAACGTTAGATTTCAACTACTTTTAACATAATGCAGAGCAATAAACCAAATACTAATACAAAAGTTGCAACAATTTTAATCATTGAAAAGCTATTTACATGTTTTTAGTTAGTTATTTAATTGATTTAAATATCTATGAAAAATATTTGCATAGTTACGATAATCCTTAAATAACGGTAGAAGTTCAGTAGCTAGGTTCTCGAAGAAATACAATACAAGATTGTTTTTAAATGAATTAGCTACTTAAATCATATCATTACTGTATAAATCGTTTTAGATAGCTCGAATAATGCTTAGATAGCACTACATTTTTACTAATTGGTTACATTTACTCGTACAATGAACAAAAAATTGTTATAAAGAAGTTCACTATTTAAATCATTTAGTAGCTGTATTATTTTCTTAAATAGCTATTGAATCTTTTAAGTAGCTATGATAGTGTTTAAATAGCGCTAGATTTTAATGCTATAAACGAAAAATTCGTACAAAACAATCAGCTACTTAATCATTAAGTAGCTGTATATTATTCGAAAAAAATAATCTCTTTTGAGAAGCTACGAATGGAAACCAATATGTTTATTAAAAACAGTTGAATATTGTTCGATTAAAAACATATAGATATGTTGTAATAAAGTTAAATCATCTTTATCATTTGGTTTTGTTTCATATATATTTTTTAACTTGTTTAATTATATTTAAAAGTTCTTTACCACAAACGGTTAAATTTTTATTTGTAAGAAACCATTAAAAAAATATTTATAAGGTTTATGTAATGATATTGGTATTGAATAATAATATCGTTTTAAATGACATGATCTAGATGTTTAAAAACGATTTGGTGATTGCCGTAATAATTGTAATAATAATAAAAATCAACATGTATCTATAGATGATAAATCTGTAAAATAAATAAGGCGACGTTGAAAAAATAATTCTCCTATAGCACATTTATTTTGTTCTAATTGATTTGATATCATTGTTGATGAACGATATTCAAATATTTGTTCATTAAATTGTTGTAATTGTGAAAAACAATATGATTATATATAATCATGTATTGTGCAAATCATATCCATAATAATAAAAAATAGAAGTTTTTATTTTTTTTGAAAAAAATTTTACTAAGAATATATTTTGATGTTATTTGATGATAATATGTAACGAAACTAGAATTATTGATAATAGATAATTTTGATATTTCATCAAGTCCAAAAAAATATTCAACTTTTTGGTTAATATAATCTATTCTTGACTATTTTTTCCTGATTCAATTATTGCTCATGTTGAATAAATTAATTGTTCATATTGTTGGGATAAAATATCTGTTGGTTTAAATAAACATTTGAAGAATTTATCACTCATCCATGTTAAATGTATTTCATTTAATTCAATTGGATGATATTTTATTTCGTATAAATGCTAATTCACATAATTGTAATCATGTTCTTGTACAAGTTTCCTTATCATAAAGGGCTTCATGTGTATTTAATATAGATGATCAAGAATTTGATGAATTATTATTTGTTGTTTTATCACGTTATGTTACTGTTGTTTGATGTGAACGACAATCTGTTGAATCATCATTTTTATCAAATGTCTGAGTAGGATTTGCATTGGACATTGATAACATGTTATTATTGGCGTGTCGCCATCTATTCATTTTAAGACTTTAGACTAGTCTATTGAACGATAACTAGAATTCTTTCGTGACTTTTCTTTTGTTTCTTTCTTCCTTGCATTGTAGCTTATTATATATAAAGAAGAGAAACATATGT